GAGGAACGCTGCGGGCGCTAACTTCAGTCCCAGCCTTCCAGGCGCGCGACGCCGCGTGCAAAACGTCGCTACGTCCTTTTTTTGACCCCATTTTTGTTTTGTTATCTTGTTTGTGCTCAAAGCGCAGGTGTTCGTCAGCTGGCGGTGGCTGGTGACACTTCACTATACGGTAAACGTGGAAATCAGAGTTAGCTTCAACAAGAATGCAATTCTGCATGAAAAATTAATAGACCTATCTCACCAGTCAGTTTGACTATGCTACCGCTTCCACAATGCATCGAGGTGACTTAAGTATTTCAGCACTTGCCCGAACCTCGCTGGAACTCTGTGCATGAAAAACACGAGACAGCACGAGCCGTCTCGGACACTGCCACCTGCTTCTTGTGACCTAAAGTTATGTCGCACGCATGAGTCGAACGCTTGGTGGGGTTGGTCTATTGTTGCTCTGCCCGCAGAAAAGTTCGACGCGAAACGTTCACGAGTGACCCGTGCGGCGGCGGCGAAAATGGGGGGGGGGGGGGGGGGGGGGGACGATCATTTAGGCGAGCTTTGTCACAAAGAGCGGCGGCTGAGGCGGCTGAAGCAGACGCGCAGCCATCGCGCAGCACGAAAGCCAGCGAAGCGCTAACTTGCGCCCCTGGCGCCGACTCCTGCTATCAGGAGTGCGTCAGAAAGAAACGAGCGAAAGAGGCAGGATCGCGATCGCGAAAGGCGCGCATGAGCAAAGCACGGCTCCTTAATGCGCGGCGATGCATTTCGGCACGCGCTCCGGTGCCCTGCAAACGTTTGCTCCCGACTGTACAACAACATTTGCCTTACGGGAAGAAGAAACAACCTTAGTTTTGGTGGGGTTTAAAACCAGCGAGTTCGCACAGCACCACAAATGAATTGCATCAATATCTTTGTACCAATTCACAGTCCACAGGCGTGTGGATACTACGATAATTTTTCACGTCATCAGCATACTGAAGTGTCATTGAGTCACTTACGCTAGTTACAAGATCATTCACAAAAATATTAAAAAGCAAAGGTCCAAGGTTCGACCTTTGTGGTACCCCAGAGTTCAACGGATAAGGGAATGATTTGCATCCTAAGTAGGAAACCATGTTTAAGCGTTCAGCAAGATAACCAGCAAACCAGTCGCAGAAACCCGAAGATCGACCCCGATGTAGTAACTTAGATAGCAATAATTTGTGATCTACGAGGTCAAACGCCTTTGAACAGTCAAAGTAAATAACATCAGCTTGACCACGGGACCCAACTATAAGTTTCGCGAACTCCAAAAAGGTTAAAAGATTTGTTTCAACGGATCGTCCACGACTAAAACCGTGCTGATTTGGGCTGAGCGTCTGCTCAAAATGAAAACTCACACGCTTAAAAATGACTTCTTCAAAAACCTTCGAAAAGACTAAACGCAATGCAATTGGTCTGTAGCTATCGATACACGTGGAGCTTCCAGATTTGTATAGTGGCACAAGCAAAGCAGTTTTTCAGGCTGACGGAAATGTACTTGTTATTAAGGACATGCTAAAATATGATGCAGTACAGGAGCCAAGATATCAGAGCACCCTTTAACAATAAAAGCCGGGATCCAATCGTCCCCACATAAGTTTTGGGGGCAAGTATTTTTTGTGGCCGAAACCACGTCATCAATAGTCAATACCGGAACTGGCATTAGAAGGAGATCTTCAGAACACAGGGTTGCATTGTTGGACTGGAGGAGATTGGGGTTTTCTATTGAGAAGTGTTTTGCGAAGAGATTGCACACACTGAATGAGTCAGAGGCATGACCTGTTTGAGTCTTCATAAATATATCATGAGCTCAACTGGATGGCCTACTATACCTAACATATTCCCAGAGGCTGTCGGTACAGCGCTTCAGGTCAGACTCAATTGAATCATGCAGTTGGCAATCGTCTCTTTTAATTAAACGATTCACGGCAGACCGATACTCCTTAAATAAGGAGTGCCATTTGTCCAAGCCAGACGACTTATATATTTGGTGATAACGCGATTTCAAAGACAGTGCCTGCCGGAGATCACTTGAGAACCACCAAGGAAATTTGCCTCTGCTACCACGTTTCATCGGTATAAAGCGGTCCATGGCACACTTTAAGACTTTAAAAGATAGAAATGTATAAAAGTCTGGATATGGTTTTTTGTCCTTTCGGTCACTTTTTACCGCACATCGACAGACGCCGACAGAAGCTTGTATTGGACGTTAGCTCATGCATGATGGAACGCTAGAACGCCGCTTTCATGGTTGCCTCTTGCGAGCGTTACAGAAGTTCTTAGACGGGGGATGAATAGCAGACGGACGGAGGCGAAAACGGGCGCTGACGCGCAGCTTTCATGTCCGCGTCTTGCGGGCATTGCAGACGATTGCTAGAAGGTGGTAAAATAGCAGACGATACTGGAGGCTGCCGCGCGTTTGTTTCAATGACCTTGATTATTATCTCAGAGCGGTAAACCGGAACACACGGCCTGCAGCGGAAATGGCACCCCTTGGTGGCCACCATCTTGCCTGCTTGAAACATTAGTAATCACGTGACGTTAAAGAGGTGCTGAACCGAAAATTGAATTGCAGAAAACAACGCAGGATCGATAAGCGGGACGCTACAAAACCCAAAACGTCACTCATGAAGCGGTATCTCTAACGGATCTTCGTATTTTTTTTTTTTAAACAGCAAGGGCATTCGCATATGGCAAAAAAGACGCGTGACCTCGCGATTCACATTTTCTCCTCTTTTCGCTTTGACTCTGAGAATTCGCGGAGAGGATAGGGAGCGAGGCCATTTTTCCTTCTTCTCAAATCTTCTGCGATAAGATGACGTCAACAGTTTTCCTCATTCACTCTTTTATTTTCCATCAATACGGCGATCCGCTCGTCAAACATCGCGTGGATGTTTCGTCTGAAAGTTTTGCATTCTCGCTGCGCTCAACCATCGATATGTTATTGGCTCTTAAGAAAGAAGGTTGCCAGGGTATATGAAGTGTGCGAGTGCAAATAAAAAGTAAATGCCTGAGAGGGTTTGGTGGTTTCGCGTGACTGGCAAAAGGCTTGAGGATTTGGTTGACCACGTAGGACGTACACAGCCGGTGTTTTTGAAGATTTGTCGGACGTACACGGCCGTTTTTCTCGTACGTCAGACGTACCCGCCCCGCCCTTCCACCTCCTTTTTTTTGTAGGTACATTGAATGTACACGGTTGATAGTCTTAACATTACGCCGGTCGTGTGCGGTACAATGCTTAATTTTAGGTGTAGATGTAAACATCTTTCAAGTTCACACTCATCTCGGCCACCGCAGATCGACGGGGCATAAAGGCAGACATCCGACACCAAGGCTCCCGTGGCCTCCCGAGATCACTTTTAGGTTTTATTAAACGCGAAGGAGCAGTTATTTTGGAAGAATTAAGAGTCGCCGGACGTCGAATAGAAGAAACGCCCAACGCCCTCTTTTTCTTTTCTTTTTTACCTCTTTTCTGCTCCACTCTTTCGCGTTTTGTTCTTAGGGCCCTTATATTTGAAGTTAGATTTAACATTTTTTTTAAAAGATCTTGCTTTACGCAATATTGAAGTTCCTTCCCAAGATGGTAAGCACGCATTACTTTAAGCAATGTTGTTGCTTAGTTCTGATGATTGAGAGACACATATTGTCTTACACATATGTGTTAAAGGAGCCCTGCAATCATATTTAAGCGTCTACCTTTTTTGCGGTTTCCACGTCTTTCGGGGTTCGGGAAAGCCAGCGGGCACGGAGAGAGTAACTAAATATCAGTGCGTCATATTTTCACCGGATGACGCGGAAACCTCCTCCACCGACTGGGGGCGACCCGCCGTGACTGGTACGCAATGGTTCCCGCTTGGCAAGCGAGAACTAAGTCACAAGTCACAGCGCGCGAGCTTACCGTACCAGTGCCGCTCCCCACGGGCACGGTAACCTATAACCGTACTTGCCGTATGCATTCGCCCATCCATGAGGTGAGTTAAGCAGACTTGAAATACCATTAATACGATAAAGATAATACAAAGACAACAGCGCAGTGCCAAAAAACTGTCAGTTTCGATTTCGGGTCCACCTAAATTGTGTAAGCCAGTAGTCTTTAGTTTTGAACAAACTCGTGACAAAGATTATTTCTTTGCGAGTTTGTGCTCTTGTTTGGTGTTGTTGGCGGTGTCGAGGGTGCCCACCAGGGCTGAATATGGAGATGGCTGTCGTTCGCTCGGTTCACATAGCCTTGACGGGGATTATCATGTCTGGTCACTTGGTGGGGGGTGTCTTCTGTTGCCGCGGTGTTTAGGTTGGAGGTCAGTCTGTTTGGCTGCGTTCCATTAGATCTTTGCGGCGGAACGTCTTTTGTTTAACCCCTTTCCTTTCCGGGTGGACGGCTATATTTTGCTGTTCCTTTACGAATAACCCAGCTGCGTTTGGGATTATGTTTTGTCTTGTCGGTTATTTTATTTTTTCCGTGTTTCAAGGCTACTTTACGCAGTTGCGTCGACTGCGCTGCGTCATGCAGCACAGTGTCTCCTATTGTCTCGTCGCAAGGGTCGCCTTAGCAACAGCTCGATGGAAGCAGTCTTAACGCAGTGAAAGTTAGTCAAAGCACAACTGTCTGAATGAGCCTTCCAAGTTTAGATTATGATGTTTTCTAATCAGCTCGTCTGCACACTTTCGCTTCTTGTAATACCATTGCTCCTTAGTTCATCAAATGGAAACGAATACGTTGCGCATTCCTCCTCTGAAAATGTAATTATTTAGACACATTCTTACAGAAAAAATTGAACTATGTACAAGTAACGCGTTACTTGTAGCGCGTTGTCTTCAAGTCTCAATGAATATAGGCGAGGATAATAAAATTTTAGAAAAAGAAAATTACTTTCTGGTTAGTCATGTTGCGAATTTCTGTAGTTCGCCCAATGGTAATGTGGCCACATGTGGCATACTGAAGCGCGGATTCGTTTGTAAACGACATGTTGGGCGTTTTTCTTGTACAGGCAAGGCGGCCCGGGCGATGTACATGAGAGTGGTGGCCCTGGAGAACCCGTCGGTGACGGTCCTCAGCTACAATCCTGGGCCGGTGGACACAGCCATGTTCGGGCACATGCAAGGCGGCAGCGAGGACTGCGCCACTCGCTACGAGAGTATGTACACCTTGTTGATCATCGTCTTGAAGATACGAAACAACATCCTCGGTGATAAATGACTGTGTTAGAGCCCTGCAGCTCGAGCGCGTGTAGCGAAAGGTTACGCCCCAGACCCCAGGGATCCTTGGTTATATCCCCACCCTTGCCCGTGTCGACCTGGTTGAGCATTGTACCGGTGTGCGGTCAAGCATCCTTACTGCGTGATGCACGTTAAAGACCCCACGCAGTGGTTGTACTGCACTGACTTGATTTCTCATCTATTGGGAATTAAATTCAACCGTCGGGCCCCTGGTGGCAAAGTTGAAATCTACGCCGACGGGGACTACAACAACAGAGATAATTTGTTTTTGTTTTGACGTGGTGCTCGACTCACATAGCCTAGCGTTCTGTCAGCATTAAGCTGGGGCTCGTGTTCAATCAGTTAAGCCGAAAGCGGACGCAGCAAAACTTAGTTGTGCCCACTTTCGACCCGCGTTCAATCGAGAAAGATGAAGTAAATAATCCAGTGCACATGCCTTGTGTTAGTAAATACAGAACTCTGCGGAAAGCAACCAGGCCGTAGCGTCCCTACAGTTTGATCTGCTCGCCAATAGCTGCGACACCAGACGTTCATTGAGGCTGACTAACTTCCGGCTGTATACAACAGTACACATTGCTTTGCGGCCAAATTTGTTAACGCATCGCAGCTCCGAGAAAATGGAGCGAAAGCTCGAGATGGGGGGCAAAAGCCAGGAATCCTGCGTTTCATGCCCGCATGTGCCCGTTGAGATCTGGGGCCTTAATCTGGACGCTTGGCGAGAAACTCGGCGAGAAATCTGGCGGGCGTGATTGGCCAACGCCACACTTGACCTTGGCGCCGGCCAACCAGAGCCGCGGCATTTCTCGCCGACTGTTTCGCCAAGTGTCCAGTTTAGGGCCCCTGGATGATTATTGTACCGGAGTCAGGTAGTATCGCTACTGCGTGATGCCCGTGAAAAACCCCGGGCTGCCAGCAGCACTCCACGAGCTAAAGCTTCTTTCTACTGCGTGAACCGGACAGGAGAACTCAAAATAATTGGTACAACAATATTAAGGTTGCAAGAAAAAAAAAAAGGCGCCAAAGTGTGTAGGAGTCATTTTCTAAAGTCATGCCCTGGATATCATAAATCAGTACACAACTCTCTGGGTGGACGGGTGAAGGAGTAACTCTTTCATATAATTGTTAATGTTGATCTCTTGTGAAGAATCCCAATGCCTAGCTTGCACAAACAAGAGGCCCACAATAAAACGGTCCCGAAAATAATTTTCTAAATTAAACCGATCCTCCTCCAAAAATTGCATCAGCCGTCTTTTCTCTTTTTCAGAGGCCTTAAAGCATGGAAAAGTAATGACCCCCGAGGTGACTGCAAACGCACTCGTCTACATCCTCGAACAGCGAAAGTTCAAGTCGGGGGACCTTGTGGATTTCTCGCCTGCACATATAAATGGAGGATTAACATCGGGTTCATTCTAAGGGTTCGGGAAGGCAGGGCCCTATTTCACTTTAAGGCAAGAATCGTTCTTGGTTAACTGGGAGTTTTATTTCCTCGTACCGATATCGATGCGCGATAACGATGATAACGATGCCCGATAACGTTGCGTGCGAAAAGGCGCAAAGCACGCATCGTTATCGGCTATCGTTATCGGAGTTATCGGAACGACCTCTGTCTGTTTGTTCGGACCCAAATGCAGCATATAATCGATCGTATCCAAGAAGTGTCAAGGGTATAAAAGAAATAAAATTTCAATTTCAGAAAATGCCTCGCAATATTTTAATCTATAGACCATTCCATTTACCGGTCTCAGGGCGGCGCCATTTTGTTCGACCGCAGCGCCCCCTCCACACAGCCGGGTAGTTCGGCAGGCTCGGCGGGGTAAAACGAGAGAGAGGGCACGCGCCCCTAATCTGCTAGGAGACGACAAACCTGGAAGTTGCCGTTCTTCATCTTTGGGCTGTGCAGGCGGACTGTACCGAACATCGAACTCTCGAGCGTGGCTACCGTTATCAAGTGGTTCGCGTGCTTAGAATATTTATGGCGACTCCAAAATCAACCTTTATAGCTATGTTGTTTAATTTAAGTAAATGATCAATTTGCGTATCTTTGTTCCGTTACTTCATTAGCAGTGGAGTCAGCCGGCACCTCAACCACTGCGTATATTGCGCCAGGAGAGCACGTTTTTATTCATTATTTCAAACTTCCACGCATTATCGCTAAAGGCCTACACCAGTACGAACTTCGTATAGTAAAATAGCTACAACAACCGGATTTACTTTTCGCCGGAGCGACCGGCCAATCAGACACCATTTTTCTAATTTTTTTTATTCGCACGCGACTAACGTCCGTCATTAGACTTGTTTTGTTTTTTTATGGAGTATATCATCACACGATAACTTGCATAACAAAATCCCTGCATCTGCGCTTGACATTTCCATAATGAAGCGATTTTAAACCGAGTTCGAACGCCAGCCGCATGTTAGCTACAGCACACTCGGCGGAGCAGACGACGCTCGGGGTGAGAGAGGAAGGACATTTTTGCTTTCTCCGTTCTTCCTAGTGGAACGGTCTATAGACGATTGCAAGCAAGGCCACTGGCTGCCCCAATGTCTCTCTGCTCGTGCGGGTAACCCTGTGCGATTTCAAGCTTTCCAAAGTTATTTTCACGCCCAGGCTGCACTTGCTCGCACTGATGGTTCACAGTGCGGGGAACCATGTTAGGAAATAGACCGATCTCACTAAACGTTCTACACATCCGTAACACTGCCATAAATATAGTTCATGGGAGTCTGGCGCCAGTTCACGAGACAGCTCGTGACTCCTCGTGCTCTGCTCGCGCTGTCCCTCAGCGGGCTTGTTACGCGTGCAGAACACTACATACAGTTCCCACAATGCATGGCGGCAGCGGTAGCGTAATGAAACTGCTGGCTGTGAGATCGTTGAATTGTCTCTAGACGATTGTAAGCGTGGCGATTGGCCGCTGCCTGTCGCCGCCATGTCCAAGCTATTGCGGATAAACCCGTGCAATTACAAGCTTGTCAAAGCTATGTTCACGCGCACGCTGCACTAGTTTGCATGCATGGGGCACCAGTCGGGGCGCCATGCATGTCTATTCACGGCGAGAAGTTTGGGTATCGCCGCCTGGAGGAATTTTTCCACAACCCTGAGTGAGGATACTTCATCTTCCTCTGCTTGTGCAAGCACGTGCAATTCTAAGTTCCTATTCACTAAAAAAATTAAAACATAACCGCGTGGGTACCACTTGCACTACCCATAATGAGGAAAACAGCAGCGGCCCTTTCGAGCTTCTCACTTTCTGAAAAAGAGCGTGTGGCCGGTGCCATTTTGAGTCTTCCAGCGTATGGCGCGTGCTTTGCTCGCTCTCCGAAGTGACGAACACGCACCAGGTGGACCGTGAAGATCGCACGCTGGACTGTGATTTTGTTATCATTGGAAATATTGATAATCCGTTCACTTTTAAGTTGATACTGCAGGCAATGCCACAAGCATGAAACCAGGACATCGTGACTTTGGAACGTTCTTCCGCAAAACCAGCGCTCGCGCCAAGAAAGCACGTGTCAATGCCGGAAGCGCTGCCAAATTCTCGGTTGTAGGTTTGGCTGCAATCTCAGCTTAAGGTTGAACGGAATAAAAGAGCCCGTGTCTGGTGCCATCTCCAGGGTTCGAGCGCATGGCACGTGTCTTGCACGCGTATGAAACGTGCTCGGCTGAGGAGATGCCCGCTGAGGTGTGGGTTTGTAAACAATACAAAAGCGGACTGATTCTTGGACGGCAAGTTTAATCAGCACCGTTTTCTTGGAATCGTGTCTTAACGGGGCGGTGAAACGATACTCGTCTGGAAAGTTTCTCACTTTACACGAACCTACTGGCACTAGTGAGTGAGACCCACGTATACTTGCACGCAACGCCCGTGACCTAGGAACTTCTTTGTTCCATGTAATTTCAAAAGCAAAAGCGGCGTTTTTTTTCGACCTCTATTTCGCAAACCTTGACGAAGTGACGGGGGGATCGCAGTATCCCCCAATGACGATATTTGAATGGGGCTCATAGATTGGACCTGAGCATGGCTTGAGCACTCGATTTGGGCTCGTGATAATCAATAGCTCGACAAGCATTCGGGTAATGGCCCGTGCCATTGCCCGTGTCCAGTCACTGTAATAACGAAAATAGCCGAACCCTAACAATGACTGGAACTCAGCGCGTGTCTTGTCATCTGCCAACCCCAGCGCGTGGCTATGATCAAACTTGGCGGCATATAATCGGATTCAGGTCACGTGGCCACTTGTTTTTGCTGCGAGTTGAGGAGGTGAACGCTGCTCGTTTTTCTTGAGTTTTTTCTGCGACTTCTATTGAGTGAGGGGAGAAACGAACGCGTGTTGAATAGGTCATTAGCGTCAGGGGGATTCGTTCTACGCGGTATTTGCGCAAAGTACACAAATCGTCGCATCGCCTTTTTAAGGCATGGAATGAGTTTTAGAGAACTCCCTAATCACAAAATTCGGTTCGTCTGTCCGACCATGAATTTCCCCAGCAAATTAGGCGGGAGCTGGGTAATGTCACGTTACTTGGGTACATGTTACGTCATGTCGCGTGACGTTATGGTATCACGTGACAACACGACTTGACACCATAAAGTCAGGAAAGGGGACCTAAATTTCCCACTAAATTTAGCGGGCAGATTGACATTCCGTCATATGATGTCAGGCGAAACTTGTATTGCTAAATATTGCAAGAAATTTAGCGTTAGGTTGCCTGCAGTCACGTGGCTGATGTCACAAGAAATTTTCCTGCTAAGCTATAGCAACAAATGATGTCACGTGGCGTCATGGTATCACATGACGCCACGACTTGACCCCGTCACGTCACGCGTCAACGCCGCGTTACGTCTCATTATGGGATGCCGGTTCCCCAGTTAAATTTAGCGAAGAAATAATAGTAATAATAATAATAATAATAATAATAATAATAATAATAATAGTAATAATATTTTATTTGACATGAAAATACATAGAGAAATGAGCTGACCTACTAAAGCTGTAATTCTTGTGTGTGGGACCAGCCAGCAAACAAACCGCTATAAATCAATATAGAATGCTGTTGTTGCTACGATGCGATTCAGATAATCAATCAGCTCCAAATGTGCATCTCCAAGGCGCTCGTCGCCCTTGACCGTAAGGCATGAGTGGCTAAAGCTATCTAACAGAGAATAAAAATTACAGGAGGACGCTGAACCTTTGCATTCAAGAGTGGAACGCCCATAGCTAAATAGGAACCCCTTTTGGTTTAGATGCCTGTTCCAGGTTGTCTGCGTGGCCTAGTGGGTCTGAGTCTCAGCAGAAGGGCCAGGTCGTGAGTTTGATCTCGCGCTCCGCCCAAAATTCTTCGATTTGTTCCTCTGAGGGACCAGTATGAACCAGTCAGGATTTCCCCGGCCCGCCAACATCAACGTCGACGCCGGCTTCTCTGCACTACAAAATCCTTCCAGGTGTCGCTTTCAAAAAAAAAAAAAGAAAACGCAGGATCATGGCGCATTAAATGTGCGTGACGGGTTCGCCCTGGGATAGCAAACTCACAGACAACCAGCGTCATGACGATGCACTTTTGACGCTTAAAGTTAAAGGGAGTGTAAACCAGATCGCAAGGCGTGCATATGAGATACGAGAGCTCTCTCGGAGTAATAAAAAAAAATATGTTAAAAAAACACTCTTAAAAAAGCAGGGAAGACGATAAGGACGGCTATGTATTTATACACATTCTCCACAAGGATGCAGCCATCTTTAATGTCGTCACATCTGGTAAGCGGTAAAACATCGGTTTGACCTCCCCTCCCCGCTGGAAGGCGTTTACAAAAAATGCGTGATTGTCACACATTCTTGTTCCGCCTCACCTGTAATTTCTCGGATATTTCAGTTTGAAATGTTTTATTATTTTTTTTCGACCCGCATACCATATACGAAACTCACGTGACTGGGAACGAGTGGAAACGGAACACGTGTTTAGACCAACGAGGTCGAGGGGCTTGTAGGGATAAACCGGGATTCCGGTCTGCACTCAAAAGTGAACCCCGTGAGGTCGCTGCCATTGTACGCAAATTTGACCACTCGTCACGTGACCAAACCAAATACGTGACGTCACAGGAAAGAGGGCAGCGCCCAGGCAGCGGCTGGCCCCAGCTGAGTAGGATGCTTTGTTCGTTGTCGTTCGTCTGGGTGAGTTGATTTCAGACGCGGAAGCCGTCATATGACTCATGAGGCCCGTCGAAAGCGACTTCAGAGTTCAGCTTGGTGTCTGACTTGGGTATAACGTGAAAATACGGAGGAACGGTGTGCATTTCGCCGGTGACCGACGAGGATATTGCCACGGAAGAGACAATCTGCCCTACGTTGCTCAGACCTCGAATTGATTTTGATACCGCTAGGATAAATTTTAAGGTGACTTTTCTGTGCTCTCGTTAACCATCGGAATCTTCGAGGTCTGCAGCGAAGCGTGCGTAATATATTTGGATACAAAAATTTCGTGACGGAAACTGCGTGAGTCGTGCTTGGCAGTGTGCAATCGTGGTGCCGCGTCGTTCAAACGACCGAAGGCTCAGTTTGGTTATGCGACACACCGGAGACCTGCATGCCTTGAAGCTGGTAGTTCCCGTGCCGTGCTAAATGGTACTGTGCTGCTTCCCGAATTGTCTCGGCGTAGACGTGCACTTCCACGGAGCACAGGTGTGCGGCGCACCGAAGAACTGCC